TGGTATGGTATGGTATGGTATGGTATGGTATGGTATGGTATGGTATGGTATGGTATGGTATGGTATGGTATGGTATGGTATGGTACATATGTCTGAGCACTAAAGATTGATGGAAGATCTTTGAAACTTTGCCGTTAGATATTTGACATCAACTTTGATTTTGTTATAAATTAAAAACATCTCATGATGGGGAATTTGAATAAAACTTTTAGGAAATATTCAATAGATGCACATCTACAAGTAACAGACATTTAGAGTTAACTGAATTTAAGATGGTAGCCACAACCATCTGACCTTAAAAACACAAAAACTGTTACGTTTTAATTAATTTTACAGATATTTTGCAAACAGGGAGTAGTAGTGGCTGAAAGTCTTTCACAACACATTCCTACAGTGCTACTCATTGTGCAAGGTCTTTGTTTTAAGGTTTTGCATTAAATGTTGGTGTCAACCTCAATATTTCATGGACCATTGGACGGGTGTCAGTGAAACTCAGAAAGTAAAGAGAAAGTTTTTCTGCAGTTGATTCACCATGACCACCACAGCTAACCAACATTAGCCAACACAAACGTGACTATAAGTCAGTCAGTTTAGTAGAAACTGAGCTTAAATTTGATGTGGTAGTAGCTGAGAGTCATCCACAACACGTACTTTAAATGTCATATCTATATTGAAGAAGATCAGGCTTAACTTTAATTTCAAAGTTTGACCAAAACGGCAACAACTAGTCATGAACTGTGATAAAATGCAGCGGTCGACATGTATTTCTTGGAGCAGCCTGTGTCTGTTGATAATTCACTGTTAGCAGCACGAGACAAGCCTTCTGCACAGTGACCTTCAAGATTTGTACTCAAGGCTCATCTGTGGGTTAATTCAGTGTTTTGTTCATCAAACTGTGTGTCGCCTGATGAGCAGCCAATAAATTCATTCAGCATCACTCCAGTGCAGAAAGTTGTATTCATGTGTTCACATTTCCTGTCTGATTCAAACAGTGCTGTCTGTGGGCTGATGGTGTACATACCATAATGAGTTTATGAATATTTGTATGTCTGGGAATGATTTTAGTCATTTTGAGGGAGTAAATGAGTTAATGACAATAAAAGAGCATCAATCTTGTGCTTACTTTTTTAATTAAAAAGGACAAAACAATGGACAAAAGATGTCTTCTTACTTGAGACAATGTGAGATCCCTGTCATGACACACAGTACACCCCCCCCCACACCCCCACCCCCACTAAGGGTGTGAATAGTGAACAGTTTTTTTTTTTCCTCAGGACTGGAATTGAACAGGGAACGAAGAACACCTTAATGTTTTTGGAGCATCATATTCAAGTGGGTAGGAGTGTGCTGGTGAAGATTCTCAGTCATCCAGGACACGGTACATCCAAAATACGATTAAAGACAAAAACAGCTGGACTTTATTTTGTAGCTGAAGATGGTTCTTTTGTCATCCGAGGAGATTTCTCAATTCAAAGAATGGAGAGTGTGAAGTTTGAGTTATGAGTTGACGTGTTCTGTAAACTAGATTCTGTAGCTTAAGCTGTAACTGGGTAGGAGTTACAGTGTGGAGAAGGAAAGTGGAGTGAGCCATTTAATCCACCACCAGGTGCAGTGGTGGAGTCAGGGGGTGGCCAATGGTGGCCCACTCCGTATGGTGGAACAAACATTACTTTTAGCACACTTTAAAGCAAAATAAAAATTAGAAACCACAATTTCATTAAATGATGAGAGTGGTGGGCAGCACGGTGGATCAGTTGGTAGACCTGTTGCCTCTCACCAAGAAAGTTGTTGGATAAAATCCCAAAGATGATTCACATGTCTGCTTATTTTTCCTTTAATTCAATCTTGCAACCCACAACACTGGCGACGAGGATATCTATTCCTGTGCCTCTACCTGCTCCATTCCTGTCATGCCCAGGGGAACCAGCGATAGCATTTCCAACATGGTTAAAAATGTTTGAAAACTACATGTTGGTGATAGCAGCGTCGTGGGACAGCTGGCTCGATGCAAGAAAACATGCAGTTCTACTTCATGCCCTGGGTACGGAGGGTCAATGGCTTTTCTACACCCTGCCGAACACTGGAGAAATGTTTGCTGCTGCTATTGATGCCCTAAAAGAACATTTTGTGCTGAAGGTAAACGTTATTGCTGAACGTCACAAGTTTCGACAAAGAGCACAGAGGCAGGATGAGACGGTAAACCAATTCGTAGCTTCGCTACGTAAGTTAGCTGCTGCATGTGATTTCGGCAACATGGAGGAACAGATGCTACATGATCAACTGATCGAGCGTGTTAACACACACACAGACGATTATTATTTGAACCGGACCTAACACTTGCTAAAGCTACTACATTGCCATTGCAAATTGAAAGTGGATTAAGGGATACTAACATTCTCTCTGATGCTACTGCTGATGGCACTTCTGCTATGGTGAGGGCCATACAGAAACAATCAAAGCCAAGCTGCCGCTGGGACATGAAGAAGAAGCCACCACCAACTCCTGCTCCTGCCATGGCTCAAGCTGCTGGTAAACGTTCCTGCTTTCGATGTGGCTCTTCAAACCACCTTGCTAACAAACCTTCATGGCCTGCTGTTAAAGTGACCTGCAACAAGTGTGGTAAAGTGAGAATTTTTTCACGAGTATGTCGTTAACCCAAAAGGAGGTACGTGAAGTCATCATTATTGAGCACACGGTTCTTTACGTGAACAATGCAGTACAAGACAAGATCCTCTGCACAGTTCAAGTGACTGCTAATGGACAATGGAAAGATGTTGAGCTGATTGTAGATACAGGCTCATCTGTGTCTATTATACCATACACAACATTACAGAGTAATGTTGTGTATGCTGTTCAGTGTCAGGAGGGCTGTGATCAGTCTTACATCGGGGAAACTAAACAGCCACTGGCCAAAAGGATGGCCCAGCACAGAAGATCAACATCATCAGGCCAGGATTCTGCGGTCTACACTCATCTCCAGGCCAGCGGTCACTCTTTCAAGGATGAGGATGTTCACATCCTGGACAGAGAGGAACGATGGTTTGAGAGAGGAGTAAAGGAGGCCATCTTTGTGAAAAGAAATCGTCCATCATTAAACAGGGGTGGAGGCCTCCGGGTTCAACTGTCCCCCTCTTACAATGCTGTGATTGCTAGTATCACTCAGCCCTCTGTGAACAGTAAACAGCCATCAGTGTGCTAATGATCCATTGTTAGGCTGATGGTCCTTCTTGAGCATGTGATCAGCTGGTTTTGGTTGTCAGCAGCAAACTGGTTGATCCACTCTGAGAAGGTGCTATTTAAGAGACTGAGCTGAAAACAGCACCTCAGACTGAGGAAGTCTCTTGGATGAGAGACGAAACGTTTCTAGATTTTTTTGCTTTGTTTTGTTTTTTGTTTTTTTGAATGTCCAGAGGACCAGATTGAACTTTTTTGGATTTTTCTACCTGGATTATTGAGCATGCATCAGGATGTTTCAGAGGAGCTCAAAGATCTCCAAAATAAGGACATCATTGACCATATTGATGCTTCGCCTTGGGTTTCTCCTATAGTCGTGACACAAAGGAGAGATGGTGGAAAGCCATGCATATGTGTTGATTTCAGGGAGCCAAATAAAGTTATTGTTGCTGATGGACATCCATTACCACACATGGATGAACTGTTCTCAAATCTACCAGGGGCTACTGTTTTTTCCACTATTTGATTAACATGTTGGTGCTAAGATGGTGTCTTTACAACATCTTATCACCAACATAACTGGTTTGTTCCACTTTGCAGTAAGCTGTTTGGGGGAAGAATCAGTTTTGTGTTGTGTGTTTCCTTGACTGATGAAGCCTTCCGGATGGAAGGTGAAACATTTCAGCAAAAAAAGGAACTGTCCAGATGACCTGACTGAAAATTGTTGGATTGTGTACCTGGATTATTGAGCATGGACTTTTTTGGTTAAATTTCATGTAGTTTGTTTTTTCCAAATTTAATGATAGCTTATTAAGTTGGAACCAAGTTTGTATTTTTACAAATTCTGCCTGTATCATCTCTAACATCCGTTCGACATCTTCACTCAAACAAAAAAAAAGTGGTATCATCTGCAAATAAAACACACTTCAAAAGCCCTGACACATCAACCAGATCATTTACATACAAAATAAACAACTTTGGTCCCAACACAGAGCCCTGAAGAACTCCACATCCATTAATACAAAATTCTGATCTTACATTGTTCACCTGTACAAATTGTCTCCTATTATTCAAATAACTGGATATCCACTGTAGTGCTAATCCTTTTTCAAGGAGAATGGTGTGGTCAGTAGTGTCTGAGGCCTTTTTCAAATCAACAAAAAACTCTAAAATGATACTGTTTTTGATCATCAGCAGTTGTTATCTCTTCTATTAGTTCCATGAGAGCCATTGATGTTGAATTATTTGCTCTAAACCCATATTGATTACTACTTAAAATATTCAGTTTATCTATGAATTGATCTAATCTGGTTACAAATAATTTCTCTAATATGTTTGAACAACAAAGATATTGGTCTGTAATTAGTGAACACACATTTCTCACCGTTCTTATAAAGAGGAACTATCTTAGCTATTTTCATATTTTCTGAAAATGTTCCTGTTGAAAATGATAAATTACAAATATATGTAAATGGTTCAATACCATAACTCATTATATTCTTTACAAACATCATGTCCATCCAGTCTTTTGATCTTTTATCTGCACAAATTTTTCCAATACTCAGTACTTCTTCTTTATCAGTGTCACCGAGAAAATTCATTTATTAGAAAAAATCAGTTTAGAAGTCCTGTGGTTCTTTCAGATTAAAATAAAATAAAATCTGAGTTTTGAACAGCATGAGAGCTCCACTTTCTCCAGTTCTGAGTCGAGAAAGCTCCAGACAGGAAGAGAAATGTCTTCAACCACCAACAGAAGTGCAGTTGTTTAGTTTCTGAATTGTTTTGGGATTTGCTGCGTCCTGGATGATTGGGAATCTACTCCAGCATGTTCCTTCACATGAAACTTTCCAAATCTGTTGTGTCGCCATGTTGTTTTTAGAGAGAAACACTGTCCTGTCATGACCTTTGTGTTTCCTTTGTGACCATTTCTCTGAGCATTGCACAGTCTGACCTTCAGGGTGAATTTGTTGGGGTGTTTGCTCCTAGGAAGATTGTCAACCACCTTAATTTTTTTCCACTTCTTTTTCTCTGTAGAACGATGGACTCCATCTAATATGAAAGATCTTATGGTTCCATATTTTGCTAACAGAGCACTTTGCTCTCAGACTGCAGGTTTACTTGTGGTTCCTAGAGTTTCTAAAGGTGGAATGGGAGGCGGAGCTTCCAGTTGTCAGCCTCTGCTGGAGGTTTCTTGCTGTTAAAAGGGGGTTGTTTCTTCCCACTGTGGCCTTCGTGCTGCTCAGGACGGGATACTGGCTCAAAGTAAAGACCTGAAAGAAACCATTTGACCAGTTTGTTGCTAACTGGTATTTTATAACTGCTTTTCACTCAATCTGACAACATTAATCAGATTATAATCCCATTGAATGGATTGAACTGTAGTTGGACTGATTCAGACTGTTCTGAGATGACTTTTGTTGTGATGTGGCTCTAAATGAAAGAACTGAACTTCCCTGTGGTTACAGATGTGAACCAGTAAACATTGATTTTCCAGATGTGTTCAACACAAACAACTTTGGTGTTTTTATTTTGGACCAACTACAGCCATGCAGCTGTTCTCTAAGTGAAGCTTCAAGCCCCTCAGTTCCAGTCCAGATGTCAATAAGCAGCATGTCAGAGCTCCAGATGTTTTGTTCCTCAGTCCACCTCTGTGCTGTTTGTGCTCATGTGTCAGGGAAAGACTTGTGAGGACAACAGCTTTGTTTTCATGCTGTTGTCGTGTGCTGCTGGTTAGAAGCAAAGTGTTGCACAGTTCAGGCCAAAGCTCACGCTGCAGTCCCAGACAACTGCTTTTACACTTTCACACTGTTCTTTCATCAACTGGGACTTTTCTCTGTCATCTCACATTTATTCTGTACAATCAAACGTGTTCAACAAACACCAGAATAACTTGTTCATGTTTGTAACTTCTACACTTTGAACTCATTTCTGCTGATTCAGCAGGTCAGAGGTCTGAAGCCTTTCTCATCAAACAACCACCACTATTTTTATATCTGCAAATACTTTTCTTAATATTAAAGGCACATCATCTGTTTGATGCCAGTCTTTTTAGATAAAGAGTTTCTGTGACCTGCTAGCTCTCAGAGTGTGTGTTAGGGATGACTCTCATCTACTAGAACATCAGGTTTTTGCTCAACATCTGTAAAAGTGACTCAGTTGTAGCCATGTTTGTGTTTTCTAAGCTCAATTCAGATTAACTCCTACAGTTAATCTGTTGTACGTGTACATTCAATTACGTTCTGAGAGTTTCATTACATTTACTGGTACATGAGGTATTTTGCTAACAGACACACAGGCAGGTTAATATGAGTGCCAGACTTTGGTGGTGGTGCTAAAAAGTTCATAGTAACACAGCAGAGGTGTTTGTCCCTTGTTGATGTGAATATTTAGGCTTGAATCCTCTTGATTTGTCTCTAAGTTGATGGAAGCATCAAAGTGATGCATGTAGAACAGAAACTAAAGGTTCTGACATGTTCTCAGTCTCCAAGAGCAGCTGCACAACCTGAACATGTGCAGCTGCTCTGGCCCCAGTCCTTTGTTGCAAGTCTCAAGAGTTCAAGAGCTTGATTCTCATCAATCCACAACATGACATGCATGAGGAGGAACCAAACGGTTCCTGAGCTCCTCTTATGTCAGCATTTAAGAAGTAAATAAGAAAATAAAAACTAGGTCATGAATTAAAAAGTCACAATATTAAATAAAAGTAATCCCTCCACCTTTACAGACACATCTGCACATGAACTTGAAGCAGCAGTCCATCAGTGCAGGTATGATGTCATTAAGGTATAAAAGCAATTCAATTAAATTTATTCAGTTTATTTCTATAGTGCCAAGTCACAACAGAAGTCATCTCAGGACACTGAAAAGATATATATATATATATATATATATATATATACAAACCGAATTCCAAAAAAGTTGGGACGCTAAACAAATTGTGAATAAAAACTGAATGCAATGATGTGGAGGTGCCAACATCTAATATTTTATTCAGAATAGAACACAAATCACAGATCAAAAGTTTAAACTGAGAGAATGTATCATTTTAAGGGAAAAATCTGTTGTTTCCAAATTTCATGGCATCAACAAATCCCAAAAAAGTTGCGACAAGTAGCAATAAGTGGCTGGAAAAAGGAAATTGAGCATATAACGAACAGCTGGAAAACCAACTAACACTAATTAGGTCAATTGACAACATGATTGGGTATAAAAAGAGCTTCTCAGAGTGTCAGTGTCTCTCAGAAGCCAAGATGGTAAGAGGATCACCAATTCCAACATTGTTGCTCAGAAAGATAGTGCAGCAATACCAGAATGGTGTTACCCAGTGTAAAATAGCAAAAACTTTTAAGTTGTCATCATCAACCGTGCATAACATCATCAAAAGATTCAGAGAATCTGGAATAATCGCTGTGCGTAAGGGTCAAGGCCGTAAAACTCTACTGGATGCTCGTGATCTCCGGGCCCTTAAACGCCACTGCACCTCAAACAGGAATGCCACTGTCAAGGAAATGACAGAATGGGCTCAGGAATACTTATAGTTTATATACTTGAAGTTTTATTGTTTGCTTCCATCTTCAGTGGTCACCACAGTCGTCAAACTCACATGAAAAATTTAGCTATTTCTTTAGGCCGGATGCTGTTCCTGATGAACCTGAGGATTACCAGACAGGACCACTGACAACCAAGTTTCCACAGCCGTCAAAATGACTTCACATAAAAAACGAACAAACAGATAAATAAAAAGATTAAAATAAACCATGTTTATTTATTTATGTACTTACTAACTTACCTCAGATTGTTAAACCAGCATGGATGGCAACACCTTTTAACTTTGGTTTATTGTTCAGTCAATAAAACAATCTAATAATATTAAATAAAATAACGATTTTAAAATATTGTTTGGAAAGTTGTTATTTTGTTTTTTAAAAAAGAAGAAAAATCACTGACTGGTTTTATAATTTAATTTCACTGATTGTAGCTGTTTTTCACATTATGGGGCAGGGCTGACGCAGTTCATGCTTTCGTCCAGCAGGTGGCGACATCCACCATTTTATTGTTTATGTGCTCAATTAATATGACGAAGAAGAAGCGAGCTGCGGAAACTGAGCTGCTAAAACCATCGAAAACTAGTTTATGTCCAGATAATCTCATTTTATTTCAAACGAGCTCTGGTCTTGGTGTCAGCTTGTTGTCGTAGGCATCACATGAAATCCAGCCTTAATTAACACGACTTTTTTTTAAAGATGACGTTTCTACGAGTTCCTCATTGTTAGCACAGAAGCTAGCTAGTGGATGATTTGTTTTGATTTAACCTGGTGACAACCGCTAAACGCAACATTATTCAGTTGTATTTAGTGTGTCTGTTTTAGTTTAGTTTAAGTCGAGTCAATCAAAAGGGAACCAACTTAGTTTAGCTGCTAGCAGCACTGCAGACTGTTTAGCCTGGACCTGTGGTCACGGAATGGTTCATGTGCTCGTTTCATGGGGCTGTTGAGGGCCATGATGCCGCCCAGGATCCAGCTTCTGGCCGTTCTGGCGTTTGGAGTGGCGATGCTCCTCATAGAGAACCAGATTCAGAGACTGGACGAGTCCAGAGCCGAACTCGGTAAGCAACTCTTCAATTAGCTCCAAGTCACAATAAAGTTGTCTCAGGGCATTCATTGTAGGAAACATTCACATCCATAGAAAAGTTACGTACGTTTTAACACAGTTTGTGATGCTCACAGTATCAGTTAAAAAGGTTCATATTACACATGTGCAAACAAATTTATCAACATGAGAACAAGTGCCTGAAATAAAAAGATAAAAAGTAATGTTTACAAATAAATCTCCACATACTCATCTGAAATAGGTCTTTGTTTTGTGTTAAACTTGTTTTTACCAACTCACTCAAGCAGGTAAAATACTCACAATCTTCTTCTTTCGTCTTTTCCCTCTTCAGGTGTCTCCACAGTGAGTCATCCTCCTCCACCTCTCTGTCCTCACTCCAACTACCTCCATGTCCTCTCTCTAACTGCATCCAGATATCTCCTCTTTGTCTTTTTCATGGCAGCTGCATTTCTAACATCCTTCTACCAGTATACCCACTCTCCCTCCTCTGGACATGTCCAAACCACTGTCCCTTCTCTGGACATGTCCAAACCATCTCAGTCTGGCCTCTCCAACTTTATTTCCCAGTTGTTCAACCTGTGCTGTACCTCTGATGATCTCATTTTTAATCTTATCCATCCTTGTCACTCCTAAGAAGAACGTCAACATCTTCATTTCTGCTACTTTCCATTCTTTCTCCTGTCTTTTTGTCCATGTCTCTGTCTCTAGACCATACAATATAGCTGGTCTCACCACTGTCTTGTAAACTTTTCTTTTGATCTTTGCTGACACCCTATTGTCACAAATCACTCCTGAACCTTTTCTCCATCCACTCCATCCTGCCTGGACTCTCTTCTTCACCTCTTTACCACATTCCCCATGTTCCTGGACAGTGGACCCCAAGTTCTTGAAGTCCTGCACCTTTGTGACCTCTGCTCCTTGTAGTCTCACTGTTCCACCTCCTCCCTCTCATTCACACACATGTACTCTGTCTTTCTACGCTGACGTTCATTCTTCTTTCAAGTGCATGCACACATCTTCACACCTCTAAGTTCTCTTGGAGTAAAATAGGTAAAATTCTCACAATGAGTACGTTTTTATTGAATACAAATATGTGTTCTTGTAGATAAGCTATGGAAGAATAAAAGAAAATTGCAAATGGCACAATTTTTTTTTTTTTTCAAATTGAACAATTTTGAACATTGTTGTTTTTAATGTGTCAAACGGTTCCAGAGTAACTTTACTTTTAGTTAAACAGCCAACCACTGTTGAGAATATCATGTTTTGTCCACAACTGCTTTAAAGATGACTAAGATGTACAATTAGGATAGTAGCAATGCTCCCAGCACATTTGTTGCAGAACTCCATGGTCACCGCAGGTCTGTGACGAAACATTTGGGCTGATGGTACTGGATGCAAAAGACTAGAGTAAAGGTAGCCATTCTCATCAAATCCTGTGGGACACTGCTGGAGCTTTTTAAACCAGCGGCTCCAGGTTACGGCTAAGGCAGGTGTGCCCACACGTTTTCAGCATGCAAGCTACTTTTGAAATGACCAAGTCCAAGTGATCTACCTACTATAAAAATACAAAACATATATGTATTTATAAACATTAAGTACAGGTATGCTTTTTATGTTTTAGGTTCTTGTTTTTAGTATTTTACCATGTTTTATATAGGGATGCACCAATCCACATTTTTTTACTTCCGATCCAATCCTGATACCTAAATCTGGATATCGTCCGATACCGTTCCGATATCATGATCATCATTGATTTTATATGAGGTTGTAATAATCTCCTCTCAAGTACAATTTGTACAAATATTTGCATGCATGTCCAAAAAGGCAACTTGAGTAAGTTTTATTAATGTTGGATAAGTTTTAAAGTTAGAATTAAATTCTGCTAACACAAAACATGTTTCTTTATTTACTCCTAGCTTTAAAGTGGATATTAAAGTGATTAAATGGCTTCAACCATCTGCTAAGTTCATGGCATAAACCAACACAGACATGTTCCTGTTTTTAGTATTTTACATCACTTTATAATGTAGCTGTTTTTGTTTCATTTATATATATATATATATATATATATATATATATTTTATATATTATATATATATATTATATATACTTTTCTTGTATTTTTCAATTCATATGCTTTTTTATGATTGTCTACTGTTGTACTGATAAATATGAAGGGTAAACCATATATGGGCTCCAATGTAACTTATCTGTTTAAATGAAGGTTGAATGAAAAGTATCAATCTGCAAAATCCTTTTTCTACAACTGATAGTGGTTGGTCATTAATTATGATGAAGTTTAGCAAATTCTCGGTAAACATTCGAGCTCCGTGGCTTCAGCGGTGTGTTCTTCTCATTCAATCCGAAGCAGGCAGCCTGATTTCGGTCAGCCGCGCTCAGTCTGCCCCTCGTCCAAGACGTTAGTTAGTTAGCAATTAGGTTAGTTAGCTGTTAGCCACAGTGATGCAGCTCAGTCCTCACGTTGTAGCTGGCTGCAAACTATGAACTGGATTTCCTGAATGTGAGGCGGGTCTTATTACTCTGGGTCAGGGGTGGGCAATTATTTTTTCCATGGGGCCACATGAGAAACAGAAAATATTGTGGAGGGCCGGCCAAAAGGCTGATCTCAATTCTGCATAATATTAACTCTATTTCTTTATAAAAAGCAGTAAATAGCATTGTTTTGACAAGCTGGTAAGAGTATATGTTTTAATGAAGCAATGAAAACATGAGGTTGCCTTCCAAAAAATGTAATTTATTCAAGCGAATTTCCCAAAACAATGGGAATGGCAATACATCACTAAAACAACATCATAAAAACACACTACACGTGCAAATAAAAATAACCACAATACAATTAAAATCATGCACAACTCAACCATAAAAACATCATTTAAAACTTCTTACATTTTTAAGTTGTTTTTTCTTGTTCAGTGAGAAAAATCTAGTCTCTGCTGGGCTTTAACAAGTGCATCAAAATCAGGTTGAATGTCTGAGGTGGAGATGCGAAGCACAGCTGACAGATGATCGTCAGTGAGAGATGATCTGTACCTGGATTTCGTGAACTTCATCATTGAAAATGTTTGTTCACATATGTATGTAGTATGACATATCCTGAGATATATTCATACATTAAACGGGTTCACTCATCTTTCTGGACTGGATGTTGTCGTGCTTTGAATTTAACAGAAATGTGGACGTGAGACGTTAATTATCTTTGACTCACCAAGCGAGTGGGTCATTTATTAACAGAATCAAGTTTAACACATCACACATTTACATTAATTTGGCAGAATATGAAAACAACAACATAATTAATCAGCTTTACAACCATGAAAACCATACGGCCATGATTTTCCGTTGCTTCACCACAGACATTAATGAAAACATCTGGATTAATTTTCTAGCAGAAAGGAGAGTTTAAAGATGGAAAATTGAGATTTATCTTACAGAGAGATGTGTGAGGGAATTTATCTGTTTTAACCAGAACGTACACGCTCCTTCGGAAATCAGCTTGTCCCAAACAGTACACTTTTGGTGAAGGTCGACTTTTACCTTTTCTGAAGATAGATCAGTTCCGGCGTGGAGTCTCACTTCCAACCACTGTTCAGCGTCTCAGTGAGAACAGCCAAATACCTCGAGAGCCGTGCGAGGTTATCCAAACAGAAGTTATAATTCCCAAAATCGTCTCTGGTTCAGCTTGTTTGGTTTAGCAGCATCCATGAATGCCTGCGTTTGCATTCACAAACTCCCAAACTCTCTGCACTCTGGATTCCAAAACTCCTGAACTCTCTACTCTACATTCTGAACAGAGCTTACAGCAGCTTCAAGACTGAGCTGAACTCTCTGTGAACTCCTCTAACTCTGTACTCCCCAACTCTACTTTTGAACTGGGAAGTGCCAACCTTTTTAAGAAGGGTCACTTCCGGTTCATTTGAGAGCTTTTTGATTGGTCGATGGACCAGAACAGAGGTGTGGTTTGTGATGTAAGGTGTTATGGAAAGTCAAGTATTGTTTAAGAACAGACAGAAAGATATCATGGAAAAAACAGACTTCGTGGAGCCACCTCTCCTGTATCTTGCTGTAAAAGTTAAACATGACATTTCTTTTCAGTAAACTTTCTAGTTGACCGAAGCTTGAACTTTAACACACTTACAACTTTGCTCACTTCAAGCAGACGATCAAGAAATTGAATCATTACTCTCTAACGTTCTCTAACTACATGTAGTGGACTAGGCCTGATGTCAAAACTGACCAGATGGACAGAAACTGTCATTTCATTGATTTGAATCCAGAAATACAGTTTGACCCATCCTGAGACTTTCTTTCTTGAATTAATCAAGTGGAAAAGACAATTCTCTATGATCATTACTATTTTACAAATGTTTTGATAATCAAATTGTGTTAGTTCAAACAATGTTTACATGTTGAAGTGAACTACTCATTTTTTTTTTTTGAGCTCAGTTTAAGTGTAGAAACATTGTGAAGTGTTTCAATGAACTTATCGTCATCGCTCAATTTTTTTTATTTTTTATTTTTTATTTTTTTATTAACTGTGAAACAGTAAATAATGATCCTTAGTCCTCAATTCAAAGTGAAATCAAGGTAGAGCCAAAGAGAACCAATATCTTCTGAGCATGTCTCTTCATGTTTGGAAAGTTCTCCTCTTTGAGAGAAGAGTAGAAATCCAGTAGAGATCCTGATTTAAAGAGCTCTGCCAGTACAGCATCAGACTGCAGATCAATGAGTTCCAGCTGAACATCACTGGGTGCATTATCCACACTGCAGGTAAAGGGAGAGGAAATCATGTGCATTTCATCCTCGATTGTTCTGAGATCTTCAAATCTCCTTGAAAACTCACAATGCAATGCTCCTAACATGGATGAGTACCTGCGGAGGTGATCGGCTGATGGTGTGACTTCTTTCAGGGTTTGCATGTGAGTGAGATTGTTGCTCTCCAGTTGGCTTGAAAGAAACAGCATCTTTTTCATGAAAGCCTTCACCAGGGTGTGCATTTCATGAACAAAAAGGCCCCTGCCTTGCAGTTTGGTGTTCAGGTCATTCATCAGTGCAGTCACATCAACAGCAAATGCAAAATCTGCCCTCCAGTCCTCATCTGAGAGCTCTGGGATGTCTTTGCCTTTCATCTCACAAAACTCTTGAATCTCTGTTTTCAGGTCCCAAACTCTTTTTAGCACTTTGCCCAGGCTGAGCCATCTGACAGGTGTGTGGTAGCCGATGTCACTATGCTCAGACTCATGGTCCTCCAAAAGTGCGACAAACTGTCTGTGATTCAATGCCAGATCAATTCCTGATCTGAGTCGATTTCAGACACTTTATCTTGCATACGTTTTAAAAGTCCCACATTTTTCCCTGTAAGATTTGGAAAACCGTCCATTGTGACACCTGCCAGTCTGTCCCATTTCAGTCCCAGTGTGTCCATGCACGCATTCACCTCCATGAAGAGACCGCTCCCTGTAGTCGTCCCTTTCATCGACCACGTTGCTGCCAGCTCCTCCGTAATCTTGAAGTCCGGCATGATCCTGCGGACAAATACGAGTAACTGGGCTGTGTCACGGACATCACAGCTTTCGTCCAAAGCCAAGGAGAAAAAGTCAAAACTTGCCACTTCACGTTGCAGCTGAAGCTCCAGATTCCACGATATGTCCTCCACCCTTCTCGTGACGGTTCGCCTGGAGAGCGGGACTTTCTCAAATGCTTCTTTTTTTCAGGGCGTATTAAAGCTGCAGAGTCCACCAAGCACTCTTTGATAAACTCCCCCTCCGAGAATGGCTTACTGTTTTTAGCGATTTTGTGAGCTAACACAAAGCTGGTCTTGGTTGCTGCATCCCTGGATGTGTGAAGCTTGGTAAAAAAAGCCTTGCTGCTTTTGCAGTTTAGCTAGCAAAGCTTCCGATGTCCGCGCCCTTTCAGCGTCAGTCACGTTCTTTTATTTCTCCCCGTGTTTCGTCTCGTAATGCCGACTCAAATTGTAGTCCTTAAACACGGCGATCTGCTCCCCGCAAACTAAACACATGGCTTTACCTCTAACTTCAGTAAATAAATACTTAGCAGTCCAATTTTTGTTGAAAACCCTGCATTCGGCATCTACCTTTCTTTTTTTTTAGCATAAGCAGACATTTCTGAGGGCTAAAGTCGTCTTGTGACTTGCTAGTGACAACGATCAAATCACGCGCATGTCTCAATATACGTTTTGCGTCATCATGTACGTAAATAAAAAACAACTTCCAAAATAAAAGCAATGCAGCTTCAGTCCATGCATCCGGTAAAATAAGAAAATATGTTTATTTTGTAATTTCCAATTAACGTTACACGGGCCGGTCAGAGTCAATCAAAGGGCCGTATGCGGCCCGGGGGCCGTACAATGCCCAGGTTTGCTCTGGGTTCATGAGACACGCCTCCGTTCAGGAAATCCATTCCATAGTTTGAAGTCAACGTGCAGAGCAGCTGGCAGGGAATCACATGTGGAGACGTTTTACTTGGAGACAGACATGCATCATGGATCAGAAAACTCTGATACGTAAATTATGCTGGTATCGGACGCCAGTACTGATATCAGATTGGTCCCATCCCTAGTTTTATATGGCACCTTGATTTATTGTTTTATAACACTTTTATTTTAATTGCATTTAACTGTAGTTTATTGTTGTCTGTACTTTATATGTTGTTTGTCTAAAACAGGTCTCTGTTGTAAATGAGTCCTCATGGCTCAGTGAGACTAACCTGGATAAATAAAGGTTGAATGAATGAATAAGTCCCAGCTCGCTGTGGACGCGACATAAATGACAACACCCAAAAGTTTGTTTAAAAAAAAAAAAGTGACAATTTATTTTTACTGTTTGCATAAAAAATAATAAACAAAACCCAGTAATAACTTCTGTTCTTCACACAAAGGAACAGAAAACAACAAGAATAACTTCATGTTTGAAGACTCACCAGAGAACTTGAGAACAAAAGTGATGACTCAGCTCTGACAGCAGCTGCTTTTAACCCCAACATGTTTCTTGATACCTGGAGAGCTTTGCTGGAAGAGAATATTTCTGGTTTGTTTTTAAAGTCTCTGAACAACGAGACAGCTGCTTCACCGAATGCCTCTTTTAAAATCTCTCCGTCTTGATAAAACTTCTTGTGCTTAGCAATTATTAAAGCAACTCACCCAGACTGATGCTTCGCTGCTGGTCAGCTGTAAGAAAAATGACTGCTGTTTGGGTAACTGGGATTTTAGTTTCTTCACCGTTTTCTTTCTCACTTCGCTTTTTGGAAGGAAGTCAGCATCGTAGTATTTATGAATATAATCCGAAAATGTCGTTCCGGTGAAATGCACTTCGAATATGACATTGTAAAAAAAAAAAGTCCTCCCCCCATTCCGTATGGAAATGGTAGGTTTTTTTCTTGTTACTTGGTCCAGCTCCCCAACTCATTTGACACACTTTCTTGAGTTTAGATTAGAAGAAATAAACTGGAGGTTATTCCGAGTCAACTTGTTTGTTTTTAGCGCGCTTGAACGTGCTCGCGTGGTGACGTATGCGTCAGAAAAGAGCTGGTCTCATTGGCTGCCTTGTATGTCAATCACCACCCCAGTCTGCCAGTCCAGTGGCACTGCCCCCGATGTCCACGCACTGTTGCAAAGCAGACAGTTTTATAAAGCTGAGAGCTCTGTTAAAACACTGTGCATATAACTTGAGATAACTTTAAACGCATGTTTTTAGGTTCTTAAAAGTGAAGAGTAGGATCCATATTTCATAATATTACTGCAATTCTACTGCCAACTCTGAACAGCCAGTCATTCTGCAAAATGTGACGGCCAGGCTCAGACATCGAGGCACACTTCTGTAATTAGCTTTGATTAACCTTGCAGTGGAGAAACACTTTCATTAAGCATCCTGTCAATATTCTTATCAAAAGCTTAATTACATGTTTTGGAAGCTGTTTGGTTTTTAGAAACTCTTGTTTTCATTAATTAATGTCTGCTAGTAAATCTACTCTGGCCTTCTGCTGCTTTTGTGTGGTATCGATGACTCCCATGTTGATTTCTGCCACTTCAGCTGATCGCTCAAGATTGGAGCTGCTGTTGCTCTGCACTTATTTCAACTGTTTAACTAATAAACATAAAGAAAAAAGTTAGTTTTAAACCTTTTAAATCAACAGGTGGCTCTCTGCACATAGCCTGCAAACTCTTATGCATTTGGCTTGCAAAGATTCAAACTTTTAATTAATTATTACCAGTTAAGTACAGAAATAAAGGATATTGGCAAACTTTTTAAAATTTAATTAACAGAATTCATCTCAGGGCATTGAACAGAAACATTCAAATACATTATAAAAGCCAACTAGTAAAAGTTGTCTAGCTAAGGAAGCAGCAGATTGTGTTGAATCTTCACTTCATCACAGACTCTCATCCTGAACAAGCACAAAGGAGACAGTGGAAAGAAAAAACTCCCTTTTAACAGAAAGAAACCTCCAGCAGAACCAGGCTCAGGACGAGTGGCCATCTGTATCGACTGGCTGAGTTTGAGAGGAACAGGAAGGAGAGGCAGACACAGGATGGCAGGTCCAGGTGACCCCCCTGTTTGAAGAAAGACAGAACACATGTTGAGATGGAAATAAAAACAAATACAAACAGGTAGAGTAGTGGAGTGAGGAAGTCTGATCAATCTGTCCTCCAGCAGTCTAAGCCTATAGCAGCATAGTAAGGGATAGCTCAGGAAACCAAGCCGACCCTAACTAGGGATTATCAAAAAGGAAAGTCATCTTTGAAGTAGACAATGTGTCAGCCTCTTGGACAGAAGCTGGAAGTTAGTTTTACAATAACTGGAAACTCTGCCTCCCATTCTACATTTGGAAACTCTAGGAACCACAAGTAAACCTGCAGTCTGAGAGCAGAGTGCTCTGTTAATTTAAATTTCATTTCAATTTATTTATATAGTGCCAAGTGTTAACAGAACTTGTCTCAGGGCACTGTACAAAAACATTCACATACATTATTAAAAGCCAGTTAGTAAACATTATATATGTAAGGAAGCCAGCAGATTGCGTTGAATTTTCACTTCGTCGCAGTCTCCCATTGTTAGGAAAAAATGGAACAATAAGAGCTGTAATATAAGATGGAGCTAGGTTGTTGAGATCTTTGTACGTTAAAAGTAAGATTTTGAATTCTATTCTGGATTTTACAGGGAACCAATGGAGAGAAACTTAAACTGGATAAATATTATCTCTCCTACTAACTCTCATTAAAACTCTGGCAGCAGCATTTTTGGATCAACTGAAGACTTTTTAAAGAATTGTTTGGACACCCAGATAATAAACAATTGCATTTTTAGTATGCAGTAACTTCAGGTAGTAACTAATGTTACTAATGTTTTATTTTGTGAGACTAAAATATGAAATAAATAAACTGGCCATAATTTCTGGAAACTTGACTAATCAACAGGCTCTGTCATCAAACAGTTCTTGAAATGGTCGCACAACCCAGTCTGCCTTTCTTCTTCTGGTCATCCATAAAGCAAAAATGGAGCCAGTCACTATCAGAAAGAGATGAAGAAGAGTCTGAGTTCATATAAACAAAGACCAGGGAGTTCCCTTTTTGTCACTTAGTCTTAATCATCAACAAACTTTCACTGCAACTTAAACACAGACAAGCCAAATGACACAAGTAGATTCAATAACAAAATTGGTTCACTTTAGAAACCTAGACGAATATCTAATCACTAACTTACCAGAAGTATTTAATGATATTAGGCAAGTGCTGTAAGGTCTTTTTCTTGTCTCACTCAGAGCGCATCATTGCCAGGCATGAGGTGGCTGAGGTAGAGCTCCGTCACAGTGAAGATGGCTGGGGGCGGGGGCTGGCACCTCTGGCTGAAAACGATGACATGTTCATCATCTACAACAGAGTTCCCAAAACAGCCAGCACGTCCTTCACTAACATCGCCTATGATCTCTGCAGTAAAAATCTTTTCCATGTCCTGCATATCAACACAACCAAGAACAACCCCGTCATGTCTTTACAGGACCAGGTAGGATCTTTGCAGTTGACCACACAATATTCTCATGTCACTGCAAACATTCTGCTTAAATAGCTCCTCAGCTTTCCTAAGGAAGGTTCCAAAGTGTAATCTTGCAAATGTTAGTTTTTACTTTTATATCTCCGTTAGTTTTGGATTTCACAAATTGGTATTCTTAGCAGGCAGCACTGTGGCGCAGTTGGTAGAGCTGCTGCCTCTTGGTAAGGAGGTTGCCCTGATTCAAATCCCGTCGGGGGGCCTTTCTGGGTGGAGTTTGCATGTTCTCTCCGTGCATGTGTGTGTTTTACTCCAGGTACTCCGGTTTCCTCCCACAGACCAAAAACATGCTTGTTAGTCTGATTGGTAACTCTGAATTGTCTCTAGGTGTGAGAGAGAGAGACTGAATGGTTGTTTGTCTCGTTTGTCTCTGTGTTGGACTGGAGACCTGTCCATGGTGTCCCCCGCTTCTCACACAGTTATGGCTGGATATGGGCACCAGTGACCCCGCGATTCGAAAAGGAAGAAGCAGGTAAAGCTGATGGATGGATGGATGGATGGATGGATTGATGGTATTTTTTAGCTCATGCCACCTAGGTTGTACCAGAATCCATCTATCCACCCCACCCACCAATTGGTCTAACATGCATGTTTTTGTCTGTGGTTAGAAAACCCACATATGCTCGGAGAGAACATTTAAACTCCACCCAGAAAGGCCCTGGGCTGGGATTTGAACCAGCAACCTTCTTGCTGAGAGGTAACAGGTCTACCATCTGAGCCACTGTGCCGCCTAATTCTGTGTAAATGTTTTTTCCATCCATCGTCTTTAACCACTTCTTCCTTTTTGGGTCGCGAGGGTAACAGGTGTCCATGTCCAGCTATCGCTGTACGAGAGGTGGGAACACCTTGGACAGGTCTCCAGTCCATCACAGGGACACCTGGAGACAAACGAGACACACAGCCATTCACTCTCACACCTAGAGACAATTTAGAGTTACCAATCAGTTTAATATGCATGTTTTTGGTCTGTGGGAGAAAACCGGAGTACCCGGAGAAAACTCATGCATGCATGGAGAGAACATGCAAACTCTACCCAGAAAGGTCCCTGGCTGGGATTCATTCCGGCAACCTTCTTGCTGAGAGGCAACAGCTGTACCAACTGCGCCACCGTTCCACCCAATTCTGTGTAAATGTTTATGTAATGCAAAATTGATGGTATGATATAAATTAGCACTTGCACGAACTGCTTTGGAAACTTTGAAAATGGAGATGTTTAAAGATTTCAGCAAGGTTATAAGATCATTTCCATACAATACATACAAAGACTCAGGAGACCCAACGAAGACGACCCGACGAAGAACAAGACAGAATAGGCGGCTTATATGTAGAGACAAGACGAGACATAATTGCAGACAGCTGGGATGAGACACAGGTGGCACTAATAGAACTAATGAGGGAGCACGAGGGAAACAGACACAAACCGGGCCACAGAAACGTACCATCCTTACAGTACCCCCCCCCCCAAGGACGCCTCCAGGCGTCCCCAAAAAAAAACCCTCCCGAAGGACTTGGGCGGGTGGAGGGCGGCACTGCAAGGGTGGAGGGCCCAAGGAAAACACGAGGAACAGAGAAAAGACACGAGGGACCAGAGAGAACAAAACACGAGGGACCAGAGAAAAGACACGAGGGACCAGAGGAAGGACACGAGGGACCAGAGGAAGGACACGAGGGACCAGAGGAAGGACACGAGGGACCAGAGGAAGGACACGAGGGA